AAAGGAGTCAGCTTTTATATGGAGCTGTATGGAACAGTGTGAAGAATCTTATGTAGTCTTACAATTTTGCAGAGCTGCGGTGAACTAGATCCCAAAGAGGGATGCCAGCAGGCAGATGCTTGGGAGGCACCTGGAAGGGAGAGAAATCAAGCAGAAACCAGTGCGGCCCAGGTTAAGGTCACAAACAGTGCTAGAAATGAAGTGGGAAGCAAAGGTGGCCTCAAAACTCTATGTGGACCTCCTCTTTTCCGGATCTGACCACTGGGGCTGGGTGAAAAAGTCTCTGCAAAAGATTTTGAGCTTTCATGAGATTTCTCATCTGAATCGGGATGAAAAGTAAACATCAGAAAGTGATGAGGGCACTAACAACCTTCACTGTGTAGACCAGACAAAACACTGTTTCTTAAATTGTGATTAATTTCAATCTTCATCTTTTTTATTTTGCAAACTTTTTCAGTATGAATTAACTAAAATTGGGAAAATTAACTTGCAGATTTTTCCATATCGAAACTGTCAAAAAACCCGAGCATGTTAGACATCTTCAAAATTGACTTAAAAGCATTTTAAATTGAAGGTTTTGGTGTCTGGAGGGTTTTTTTTCATCAGACTCTTGTAGTGCACGATATAATCCTTGACAACTTTTCATTTTCCACCCGTACCCCGGGACCATATCACTGCAGGATTTCCCATCTACCGCTGCTGGCTGCTGTGCTGCAACAACCGGGGCCTGGCAGCCCGGGCTCGACGGCACGCAGGGCTCGCGCTCGATACCCACCTGAGCTGGCTGTGCCCTCCTGTCCTGGTTTCGGCTGGGATAGAGTTAATTTTCTTCATAGAAGCTAGCATAGTGCTGTGTTTTGGATTTAGTACCAGAAGAGTGTTGAGTTGTGCTCAGACTACTCAAGGACTTTTTGGGCTTCTCCTGCTCGGCCAGGTGCATAACAAGCTGGGAGTACAGCACAGCTAGGACAGCTAACCCAAACTGACCAAAGGGCTATTCCATACCATAGAACGTCATGCTCGGGAGGGTTAGTCGGTCAGTTGCAGGGAGAGCGATCGCAGCTTGGAGAGTGATCACGGCTCGGGACGGGCTGGGCATCAGTCGGCAGGTAGTGAGCAATTGCATTGTGCATCATTCATTTCATATATTCTGTATATTCTGTTACCATTCTCACTATTACTATTATTATTATTTTCTCTTATTAAACTGTCTTTATCTCAGTCCCTGTCTCTAACCTTTTTTTCCTTCCCGATTCTCTCCCTCATCCCACTGAGGGAGGGGGGAGTGAGCAAGCGGCTGCGTGGTGCTGAGTTGCCAGCCGGGTTAAACCACGACACCTCCGAAGGCCGTGCCAGCTGGGAATCTCTTCACCCCAGGCCTACTTCTGGTGGGCAGGCCTGCCAAGGCAGAATGAAAAGGGCTTTGTCGGAAGGGACGTGTCAGCCTGGTTCTTTGTTGTCAGACACCTGTATAGGTATTTCCACCATAAAACACAGGTGTGCAATAGTGCGGTTTGCCCTTGCCTCCTTAAGGTAAATGGCAACTAAGCCGGTGTCTTAATGTTCTTTTCTTTCTGGGCCAGGGAGATAAAGGCATGACTGCTGCTTTGTTCCTGGTCTGGTCATTGGAACCTGTGCTAAATAAGTTGGAATATTTCATTTGCTTCCCTGGTGGTACTTTTCTCTCCCGTTTCCCAAGTTTTGCAAGGTGCATGGGGGGCAGTGAAGAATCAAGCCCTGTGTTTGCACAGCCGGACAGATTCTCCTTGCCTTTCCACCCACCGGCGAAGGTATACCAAAGCTGCGCCAGTGATATGCAATCTCACAGCCCGGCCAAGTACAAATAACCCATTTGTGTCACTCTTGAGAGGTTTCTGAGGATTATTCTCTGTGTCCTGAAAAGAAGAAGTGAAACCTAATGACCTGGGAAAGTGTGTGGCGTGGGGTAAGTCGGTCCCTGCCAAGTGGAGGTGGCTGCAGCCAGGCCCTGGGGGTTTGGAGAAATCTGTCAAAGGCAGCTTCCCTTCCTAAATCCTGCCAAGGAGAAGGACCTTCTGAGCAGAGTGACATCCCACCAGCATTTGGCTGCCACCGGGTTTCATTTCACTGTGGTTTTTTCCACCAGTTTTAAAACTGAAACGTGACATCCAACAGAGATTTAGCCTGTTTGAAATGCAAACCTGGAAACAGGAAGGGGAGCCCTGCCATGGCGGAGTGTAACACTGCTGCAGAGCACCCGGTGTCTGCACGATGCTTGCTTTTCCCTGATGGTACCCTCTGGGCTTGGGAAGGAGGGAAGGATTAATGGGACCAGGGAAACAGGAGAGGGATAATGTGCGAGATCCTCAGGTTCCCCAGCAGCATTTGGGGTATTCACTGCGTCGCTCCTGACCTAGCAAGGACCGGTGCCATCAGTAGGGAGATCAGGTGGGGAACACACGAACACTGATCACAGTGTGTGACAACTGACTTCTTGCACACTGGGCCACTAATCTGCTTTTTGGACACCACCACTGGCAGGCTCTGTAGCATCATGCGCAGAGATCTCCATGCCTTCCCTTCCCGGGGGATCCCACGGATTTTCACATACAAGGTAAAGGAGACTAACCTTTCCTCATGTCTCAGAAGGGTGGATTTTGTTGTGAGGGAGTGGCAAGAGCACACACGTCAGCTGGTAATAACAGAATCACAGGACTTGGATGTAAAAGGCTACCTCAAGGCAGGATCATCGACATAACCGCATGTACATCATTCCTGACAGGCATTCACTCTTGCCTGTAGTTAAAAATCACAATTTAGGAAGATGGAAGTTTTCCCAAACGATCGGTGCCATGTCTCCACAGTTCCTTACTATTAGACAGTCTGTAACGAATGTCTAGCCTGAATTTTCCTTGCTACAGTTTAAGCTCATTGCTCGTCATATCCACCAGGGAAGTCTGGACAGGGCAGTTCTCTCCTATCCTCTTTTTATCAGCTTCTTTCTGTTTCTGAAGAGTGTTACTGTGCTTCTTTTCAGTCTCTTCTTCTTCCTCTTCAGTCTCTTCTTCCTCAGACTAAATGACAGTTTATTCAATCTTACATCATAAATCATGTTTTCATAAAGTGGGCCGTATTTTTTATTTCATTTTTCCTATTTCTCCTTCGTCTCTTTTTCCCCATCTTCTTTCTACCTGATACTTTATCTGTCTCTAATCCTTTACCAGAATCTGATTCTATCCTTAATTATTTTCTCCTCTATCAATGTCATGGCTTTGTAACAGGGCTTGTTCAGGAATTTGGGTTTCTTCTTATTCTGCTTTGCCTTCCTGCTTTTGCAAAGGTTGATCTTAAAGTACTGAAACATTGTCTGCCTCCCTGGTTAGAGGAGAAGCACGGACTGAGCACAACTTTACCAGTCAGGAGCTCCTAAGCTGTAGCTCTGGCTCAGCAGCAGCTTGTCCTCCATACAGCCCCAGGCAAGGCAGCCTACCTTGCCCTCGCTATAAGCTTCTTGAGGGCTTGCGTGATTTTTAAAAAAAAAAAGTATTTTGCAAGAAATAGAAAAAAACCCCAACCAAACCCTAGCAGTAGCCTGAACATTTGAGCTAGTTTTGGATAAGCGTCAAGGTCTCCCAAGCAGCTCACATTTTTCTCATCACAGGCAGTCTTTAACACCACTTTAAAGAACCACTCCAGAAGCTGGAAGTTTCCCTATAATTAGTGCTCATGGGCTTCAGGGCTGTTGTAAGGCTGAGGGATATAAAGACAAAAAAGATCAGGTGTTGTTACGTGTCTCACAGCCACAAACCGGTATTGTCAGCCCTAATACTGAAGAGCCCTTCTGAGCTGAGGGCTGTCATAGGCTGTCAGCTTTTCTGTTTGTGGGGGTTTTAATGCCTTCGTGCCAAAAATGGGTATATTGCCCAACATCGGGACTAAACACATGCAATGTCTTCTTGGACCTGTGTGTTAGATTCTCCATATACAGCTACACACCTTTGAAAGGCAAAGCTAATGATTTTAAGTGGAGGGATCTTTATTTATGTAACTGATTGCAAGATGATGAATTCTTACAAAAAATTTCCTTTTGTTCATTAAAAAAATACTATTTAAGAAAACTCCGGGTCTGGATATCGTTCCGTTCAGTGCAAAGGACAGAT